TTTCAGTTACCAGTTAGAAGATCCGCAAAGAATAAAATTATTAATTCTTTTTTTTTACACAATCTAACATCATTTGCATTTACGTCTCTTTCTCGAATGTTGTTATGTAAATGCCTCCGTCCGTTGTTTCTGCCACGCCAAAGGTTCAAAGTTCACCGATCCAATTAGCTCGTAATTGCTTCCTGGTGGTCTGAATTTTGTTAGAATCAAAGAAACCAAATTAATTGGAGATTTGTTAAATTAGTTGCGTTTTTGCTGTCGACGTGATTCCAAACATTCAACGAAGGTGTGTCTGTGACGTTCGTAACACGTACATGCATAAATGCACACACCCGCTTATCAAATAATAAACAGTCACTCAAACTGTTCCGTTTGCAACAAGGTTTTTGATACATTTTCGCGGTTATGTGCCAATTTATTTTTTTTTAGTTTATTTTCGATGTTGTTCGATTTCGCGAATTCTCTGATAAATATACATCGATAAAACGTTTATTTATACTGTGATAAGAGTACATAAAATTTCGATTACGACGCTCTGTACACGCCCACGTCAGCAGCGTCAGCGCAAAATATCCAGCTTGCTGACGCTCGTCAACCTGTTACGAAACTCTACTGTAGTTCAGCACTTTTGTAGCAAGCAGCAACAATACGTCTTCGATTGTAAAGCACAGTTTCTTTCGCAATCTGTTCCTCAGTTTGTTGACTCTGCTCTTGTTGATGTGGAAACAGGATTTATTTGTTTGTTGTTGCCTATTAATATGCATTTTTTTTAATCCAATAAGATTTCTTCCTCTCATCGAATTGACATCAAATTTAAATGCTTCAATAAATAATCCTATCTCAATAGTAATATCGATTATTCAGAATGTAAAAATAAATAGAATTTCCTGTAAAATTAACGATATGATGACTTCAAAATTTGTTATCAGATCTACGAAATTGATGAATCAATAAATCTCAATTATATAGAATTGCAATTTTGGTAATCTTTGACCTATGAGTTCAAGTCTCCCACGTCAGATGATTAAATCTAATTATCAATCTTACCCTTGCGTTATTTCTATTAACTTAGTAACTATTTTCTTTTTAATTTAAGCAAATTTTATTATCATTAAGTTTTTGAACTCATCTTTCGCGAAATACCGATAATTTTATATTTTTATTATGAAATTAATGAACCTTGTGATTTTATTACAAAATTGCAATAAATGTATTAATTTGTTCATTAATTAAACACATTTCACTAGACTATAATGAAATATGTCATTTTTTTTGTCATTATTTTTTTTAATTATTATTAAATAATCACTAAATTTCGGAAAATTCCAAAATGTTGTTGTTTTTTTTATAGAAATAAAAGATATAATAAATTATGGCCATTTATTTCTACCTAAAATTTTTGTCAAGTGAAAATGCTAATAAAATTGAAAATGTGCAACAAAATAAAGAAACAATTAACGGAATTTGTTGTAATCTAGTATGAATTTATTTTTGATAAACATGCAGTGTTTTTTTCAAAGAAAATCATGCATTATTTATGTTTTTCAAATGCAAAATATAGGAAAAAAAATAACCGCAGCTACCTGCAATTATCTAAACTACTAGTTATTAAAACCGGAATAAAAATACGTAAATAAAAATTGATTTAAACCCATTTTTTTTTCCTCTAAGAATAATTAAAATTTAAATTAATCAAATCATAAGCAGACGAATAATGAAAGGCTGCTCAAAGGTCAAAAGAATTCATAGTTAATAATTGCAGAAAGAAAAAGCTCATGTGATCAAAGAATACACGGAGAATCCCAGATGTTGAAATACTGGTAAAGGTCAGTTTTTATGGTCGTCCGCACATGTGACTCCTACTTTTTGGTCTCGATGATGCTCGTACTGACCGTGATCCAAAAATGTTGATTCCCAAAAAAAAATATATTTATAATGTAATAATAACAAACAACAAATAAAATAACAACTGAAGAATTGAAATTCATCGCAATCCTTAAGAAGCAATTATATATAAAAAAAAGCGATTGTTTGCAAATGCATTTACCATTATATATATAAAAGAAGAAACGAAACTCTCCTCAAGGATGCATTTTTATGTGCACAATAGTAAATTAACTTTATTATTTTAAAAATTAATTTTCTGGTAAATTATTGTTAATTATTAAATTAATTTATTAAAAATATTTTATGTTTTAAGAAATTTTCGTAAATTCTACTCAAAGGCTTTTCTCCATTAACAATGCCGGCGATCATCATCATAAATGTTAATAAACAATGTTTGTTGTTGCTGTTGCAACAAATGGTTAACGAGCGACGATATTTCGTTTAGGGTCTAGGCTTTTGGATTGTGAAATGAAACCGTGGTCAATAGACAGCAAAAATAATTCTTAGAATATTATTAAAAAAAATATATAGAAAATACTTAATCGAAGGTTAATACAGTTAATTAATGATCGTAGTAATCAATTATAATTTAAAAACTGTAATTATAAGATAATTTCCAAAGCTTTTTGTAATCTTATTTTCTCAAGTGATTTAATTGGACATTGTTTTGTGGGTTATGGAATTTCCGGATTACGTGAATCCTGACATCACGTTGTTACTTCTCATCTTAATTCCTGAAGCAAACTGATGTTATTTTAATAAATGTAATATTTATTACTTTTACAAAAATCATGAGTTTAAATTTTAACAATTACAATTTTAAATTTGCGAAATAAATAAAAAATCAACATTTTCACGAGAGGATTACAAAATAAATGTATTTTTTATATATGAGGAAGAGTCTTAAATAATCAATAGATTTATTTGCACTACAACCTCAAGTAGCAAGAAAAGGCAGTATAAACTGGCGAGGTCTTCCTGCCTGCATATAGACCGAGGTTGGAATTCTCATCGTTTCGAAAATCGATACAAATATCACAACTTTTTATTTTCTTCCTGTAAAATCAAATTCATTGAAATATCATTCTTATTTATTTAATATCGTTTTTATTGCGTTGTAAACGGTAAAATAGTTTAAATCGTTGAATTGAATTTTCAGTTAAAATGTGAGTATTTTCAAATTGTTTTTAATTATAAAATTATTTTCTACTATGTTGTAAGTCTTAGTTTAATTAACAGATTTATTATTAATTCGTGCGTGTAATTGCAAGTTTTATGAGGCAAACATTGATACCTGTAACTGTACACACGATTTCATTTCTCGTGTATTCAAGGTTAATTCTACATGCCGAAATACGTGTGTAAGCAATAAAGTAAATAAATCCGGAATTGCAATGATTAAATTAATTGTTCTATTTGTGTCTACTATTGCGAATTTACGTTTACGCTGAATGCATCACGTAAACAATTGATGATTGTTAAAGTATTAACGGATTGTTATTATTTAAATATTAGTATTCATTGGCAGATCGAGTTTGTGTGTGTGTATGTACACGCCTTTCGTTTTCGTTGTAGATGTTGGATGTATTGCGTGATGTGAAACACATGCACCAGTAAAAGCTGCATACGAAAATGGAAGAAATAAGAAAGAATGGAGGAACGTCGGACGTTGGTCTCGGAGCAAGGGTAAACTAATGGGCAGGATACGTGTGGATTTTCTCGTAGCTCGGATGACGCGCGTTTCTTGAGGCAGTCATCGAGAGATGAAGAGAAATCGGTTTCATATCCCATATGCATACCGCTCGGATGCTGTACATAGGTGTTCGTGATCTGGATGCGATGATGGGACCTTGGAGCAGGTGCGACTGGTAGGTAGGTAGGTAGGTGTGTCGTGACGCAGCCGGTCGCAAAGTTCGTCGTCGCCGGGCAAAGGATGGATCCATGGATGAAGGTTGATCCGATGATGCTGACAATCAACTGTAATAACGAGACTCTATTCCAGGCGCAGACGAAAATAGCGCCGCTGATTGTGCCGATTGTATACAGAATGATTAGAGACAGATGTCACGGAAAGATCGGAGACTCTCTTAATGGGTTTCAATTGAAATTTAAGAGCGGCAGCGCTCGGTAATTGCACGATTGCCACAAGGTTCTTTCTCTTCTACGTCACGTACGAGCCTCTGAGGCTTGGACCAATGGCAGCGGCTCTGGCGAACACACCTTCTCGCATTCCACGATACTGAATTGCTGGAAACCAAAGAACCCAACAACATCGACTGTACCAGCAACAGCAACAAAAAAAAAATAACACACAAGCTAAGCCACAGCAGGTATTGCATCATAAAAATCAGCGATTGGACATGCTAACAGTACAGGAATCACACATCTGATTATTATTTTTTTGACATTTATAAAAGTTGCTGTTCAAGGATACGCTGTTCTTTCGTTTTTTTTCTTCTCTTCTCCTCCTCCTCCTTCTCATAGTTGTAAGCTGTTGTTTTTTTGTTGTTGTTTGTTGCTGCTTCGCTTTGCTCTCCGGAGATAGCGATCGATAATTATTGGCGGAAATAGGCGAAAACCTGGTCGAGCCTCCAGGCTCGCATTGAAATCATGCCTCGCTCCAAGAGGTAATAGCATGTGCACGCGAAGTCTGAGGGGCGTCCGGGGAGGATGCAAGAAAAGACCAACAAACCAGAGGTAAAAAGAAGGAAGGCGCTTTGGTCCAGACGGAGGAGAAGAGGTCTGCCGTCTCCTTTCAACGTCCGCGCAAACGTTCCACTCTCTCGCTCTACCCCATGACCTCCTGCACAAGAGTCTTCTGGAAAATTCCCAAGTCCAAATTTCACTCGATCCATCAAAAGGAAAAAAATTGCGATCGAAACAAATAAACGTCAATCGATAAATTTGTCGCAAATTCGATTTGAATCAATCGTGTATAGCCGCTATCATCGCGATTATCATCATTCCGTTTCGCTTTTGATTGGTTCAAAAAGTTTGACCCCCCCGATTGGTTGTTGTTCTTTCGTTCGACATATAACACAATCAATTTATTAATCCCCCGTTGGTGGGGGGCTGCGAAGAGAACAGGTATATATATTATACTTCCACCCAGCGGTTGGACAGTTGCAGAGCGCATGCGGTTGATAAAACTTTGCTAAAATATTATATATATATACACACTTTTCGGCACCTTTTGCGAACGTCGGCTATTACGAGCAATTGACACGCGACAATCTTAAGACTATTGTAATTACAAATTACTTTTCCGTTTGCGATTTCTTTATTTTTTTCCCCTCGCATCGGTTATAACGACTCTTGAGCGATGGACAAGTACGATTCCATCGTCGTCGCCAAAGATAATGCCCAAGAAACAACTTATCAGCACAGGGCCAACCCCCCTAGGTGGCGGTTGCTCAACTTCCTCAAACACGGGGTATGTATTTCCACCACATTTACAAATTTTCATAAACTTTCCATTATTCCAACATAATAAAATACACATTAGAGCAAATATCAATATAATACAAATTATAACCAATTATATATTAAGCAATTTAATTAGGAATGTAGAATGCAATAGCCTTATAAAAATTATTAAAAAACAAATATATTTATTTTGTTTAATTATTTTTCTAATTTAAAAACTAATAATATTTTATTATGGAATGATCGATGAGAATTTAGAAATGTTAGTTTTATTTTTCTTACTCTCTCGTTGTTACGCCACGTTACGGCGGGTTATCGTCAGGTATGCGCTAGAAAATGTAACTTCTGCTATTGTCTAGTCCGGACTGCGATGGACAAACCACAAGTTTAACAACAACAACAACAACAAAAAATATACATCGTTGTACCTTGTACGTAAGCCGTTGCGAAATTCCTCGATATATGTTAATTGCAAGTTTCGCAAAATCGATCATTATAAATTAATTACGTAATTACGTACCAATAAGAGACAGATAATAAATAAAGAGAGAATAAGTGACGAAAAATGTTTTTTGTTAATATATTAAATGCGACATGGTTACATTTCTTCTCTCGATTAATTATTTAATGAATGTATGCAGCTTCATTACAATTCCTTTCCACTTCAATATGAATAATGGATAACTGTTGTTTGCTTGACTTTTTCTAAAAATAATATCAATAGACATTCAACAGTACTACTTTTCAAAGTTACAATATTTATTTGATAAGCTTAAAATTTTGTATATTTTATATCTAAATGATGTAATAATAAAAATAATTTTACAATTCCGGTCACTGAATTTGATAATTTTTTAGATTTGATGCTTGTATTTGGATAGACATAATATTTATCTGTATACTGATAATATTTACCTAAGTATGCAATTTAAAAAATAAAATGGGTGTGTGCGTTTCATGGAGTATCCTAAAAATAGAAGCATTCAAGATCATTAGCCAAATTTTCAGGTGGAGGTAATATTGAGGGTCGCAACTCGGTGCAGAAGGCCTTAATCCGAGTGTGAATTTGTACCGTAAACAATGTATGCGCTCTTGTATTTATTCAAGAAATAATCTTGTGGTCGCGAGATTACATTCAAAGTTCGATCTCGGAAGAAAGACATTACGTTTTCCTCGGGTTCACAATAAAAATAATAATAATAATATTTATGCTCGAGTCGCAACAAATCTAGCTGGAGTGAGATGCTTACTAAACAAGATGCTTCAAGACCGGAAGAGGCCTTGTGTATACAGATCTCGGCTTTTGCAATTCCTTGTTTTTTAACATTGGAAATCATTAGGGTGAAGCGTGTTGGTTCGGACGGCACTCGCGCTTTGCATGTGATTGACGCAAACGATTTGTTTTTTACTACAGTTGTGTTGAATACGTATATGTATGTATCTGTGTGTGTGTATGTGTATATCAGAGTGTGCGTTGATAATGCGTTAGCTGCTCTAAACGATCCGAAGTAATGTGACCGATAATCAGTATTGAATAAAATCGCGAAAACAAGAGCAACATAAAAGCTAAATGAAATGACGATATGATAAAGTCATCGGTAGACTTGGAGTCGCTGACCATTGACCCAAAATTGCTTTGGGGAAGGGGAACAAAATCTAGGTGGAAGGAAATAAAAATAGAGGAGTAAAAGAGATGACCACTGTTGGATTTTGTTTAAATATCGCGGGATCATAATGGGAATGCTCATTAGTGTTTCCTAATTGACCAAGAGAACCATAGAAATTTCTGAATTAGTGTTGAGACATCTGACCAAGGGTCATGCCTTGCACGTGATTCCCGCCTCCTTATCAAATGTTATAAACGGAGCAAGGATCTCACAATTTCTTGTTTTTTCTTGAAGAACGGTCAGCACACACGTCTAGTGCCCACTGCGAGCCCATCCATATCGGCTTGCACGACTGCCACCAACCTGTCATCCCTGGATGCACCGCAGCTGCACAAGATGAGCACCCTGGAGGAGAACCTAAGAGTGGCTCAACCGGAGATCGAGCCACTCCAGAACAAGAAGATCGGCGTGGAGGAGCAGATCTACAACGACACAGTTGCCAAGAAGCCGCCAATAAAGCTTTTCACACAGGTAAGCACGAACTCCTTCCTTCTAACATCAACTAATAAATATTGGAAAGCCCGGCCGGAAAAGCGAGAGCATCGAAAATCTGGGCCCGGTGCCGGGCGTTCGATTCCATATACAAATACCGTTGCCCAATACAATAATATCTATCCTTTTATTTATATACCAACAATTCAATTTGTGATCGCGTGTCCCTCGAAAAGTGTATATAAGTGGTATCGCATTACGGTTTGGCTGCGAACAATTTGCAAAAAACAAATGTAGTTCCTTTTGGAAACGTGAATAGATCGCATGGCAGACGTCGAGGATTGCGTCGCGCTATTTTCGTAACTCAGTTTCAAAGAACAAAACTAAAATAAATAAAAAACAAATAGGAAGATGCTCTTGCGTGCCGATACACTTGGTGTTCTTGAAACTGCCGCTAAATCGAAATGCACCGCATCTCAAGTTTATTGCTTACTTTTCGAGCAATTCGTTTAATTTATAATTTACTTTGCAGGTTTTGACCGCCTTATCAGTATCATTAGTATCGTTGGTGATTGGTTTTGTGTCGGCGTACACGTCCCCAGCAGAGGAAAGCTTGAAAAAAGATTTGGGGATTACCGATAATCAGGTAAATTATACTTGTTTAATATACGACTTTAGTATGCGAACTAACCGTTTATTTAATTACAGTATTCATGGATTGGAAGTTTGATGCCGCTTTCTGCGTTAGTGGGAGGTCTGGTCGGTGGTCAACTGATCGAAATTCTGGGTAGGAAAAGGACGATCGTCCTCACAGACATCCTCTACATTATTTCCTGGCTGATATGCGCAAACGCCACCGACATTTGGTTCGTGTACGTTGGAAGAAGTATTATTGGATTCAGCGTCGGTATCGCCTCGTTGGCGATACCTGTGTACTTAGGTGAAACTATCCAACCAGAGATCAGAGGTGCACTTGGTTTGTTCCCCGCCGCTTTCGGAAATTCCGGAATTTTACTCTGCTTCATCGTTGGAAGTTATCTGAAATGGAACGAACTAGCTTGGTTGGGCGTCGCTCTTCCAGTGCCGTTCTTGGTCCTTATGTTCCTGATCCCGGAAACCCCAAGATGGTATGTCTCCAAGGGTAGAGATGAAGAAGCTTTGAAAGCCCTGCAATCTTTGCGTGGTAAAGACACCAACGTTTCGGAAGAGTTCGATGATTTGGTGAAATCGCACAAGGAAAGCCAAAAATTAACAACAAATGCCACATTCAAAGATCTCTTCGTTAAAGCTAACATGAAACCGCTGATGATTTGCTTGGGCTTGATGTTCTTCCAGCAGCTGAGCGGTATCAACGCGGTAATTTTCTACACAACAACTATTTTCAAGATGGCAGGTTCTAGTATTAACCAAAATCTTTGCACTATCATCGTCGGATTAGTGAATTTCATCTCTACTTTCATCGCCACAATTCTCATAGATAAATTGGGAAGAAAAGTATTACTCTACATCTCCAGCATCTCCATGACCCTAAATCTTAGTATTTTGGGTACCTACTTCTACTTGCGTCATACTGGAGTAGATGTTTCCGCTTACGGCTGGTTGCCATTGGCCAGTTTCGTTATTTACGTGCTTGGATTCTCCCTCGGCTTTGGACCGATTCCATGGTTGATGCTTGGAGAGATCTTGCCTGCAAAGATCCGCGGATCCGCCGCTTCTGTAGCCACAGCTTTCAACTGGGCTTGCACCTTCCTCGTAACGAAGACATTCGTGGACATCATCAACTTGATTGGACCTCACGGCACCTTCTGGCTCTTCACTGGATTCGTCGTCTTCTCCATCCTCTTCATATATCTTTGGGTGCCTGAAACCTTAGGTAAATCTCTAGAAGATATTGAAAGGAAATTTGCCGGCGTCAAAGTTAGGAGGATAAGTTCCGTTGTCAACCTAAAACCATTGCCATCGTCATTTTAAGAATCTCAACGATAAATTGTTTTGTTTTTATCTTTCATTCTGCGTATAAGAACAGAGAAGAAATATTTGAAGAAAGCCAAAGTCTAGTGATATTTAATTACTTGGAACTATTTTACATTATATATATTTTTATTATATTATATATTTTATGATTTTATGTATTAGTCTAGTGAAACAATATTTATGAAGAAAAACAAGAAGCGGTTAGTTAAATAATCAATTAGTACACATTCCAATACTCGATACTCGAATGTAAATATATTTAGTTTTCCTTCTTTTTTTTACAAAAAAAAACTACACACTTAAAATTATACAGACTACTTTGTTTTCTTATACTTCCCCAAATCATCTCCATACCCAAGGATGCAAGCATATGTAAGCTAAGCCCTGGAATTGCTTTTCGAATTATCAAAACAAACGTTCATAGATTGCGTAATCGAGTTATGTCATATAAGCATCGTTGCCCTCTGAGTTATCGGCCTATGCAGATAAAATGTGTTTACACCTTGTACGAATCAGACGCACATGCTGCTATATTTGAAACAAATGCTGTTTATGTAGAAGCCACATTATAATGTATTCTTGATTATTTACATAAATTAATTAAGTCTGCAATGATTGTCTTGTAATTATGTCTAACGATGATAACGTGCTCTAATTTATATTATTTTATTATTGGAAACGTACTTCAAGAATTTTAAAGATGTTATGTAATCAATAATTGTACATATAAGTTTAGATAATAACATTATACATAGTTATCATAGTTTTAGAATAAAGTACTAAACTTTAAATTAAAAATGTTCTTTTCTTTCAAATTTACCAGCTAACAGAAAAACGACAACCGCTACAAATCTATTTACTACACATATTAAAACACAACATAGCAATAAATACAAGATATACATTCAGCTTTTATGTGCATCTTTGGATCCATTCAATCTAATTAATGTTTCCGAGGAAAACACTGTTTTTTTCGTTTTTTAAAAGTGAATACTCTCTACATTCTTCAAATATCCAGCTTTCACATGGATTCATTCAATTTATTATAGTTTTCCAGAAAATGTGAAAACATTGCTTCTTCGACCAATTTGTCGAATAATTCAAAACACCGGAAAAATCGTCGTTTCTCGGCAAGGTAATACAAGAAATCGGCAAAAGTTACACATGTGAAAGATAGTACTTTGGAAAGCCCTAACACTTAACTTTCATTTGCACGCTCATTCATAATTGTGTCATTTAAAATTATTGAGAAAATTGATCATTTGTGAAGATTTTCCAAACGTTTTTCTAACTTGAATATAGTTTGGCTGCATATAATCAGATGGCTCTGATCATTATTAATTAAACAGTCGTAACTTTATAATAAATTAAGCAATCACTAATATGATCTTACCATTAGATTAAAGTGATTTCAGCTATCGCAAAATGGTAAAGAGAAGATGCGGAAAATGATGTCTAAGCTGAAAAACACACCACCACGAAGACGGGTTTGCTTTTTGCGCCATCTACTAATAAGCACTGAAAGATTATAGTTCAGCTGATTTGGCGCTGCTCAAAACAGAAAATCTTAATTAGGGCATTTAATGTAAATGCAATTTAGCCAAAATGCGCGGTCTTAATTACACAATACACTGTTTATATCGTTTAAATTGTAAAGTCATTATTAACAAAGTTATGAATGATTTAAAATGTCTTGAGGGTGACATCTATTGGCAAATCTCAGAACTATTTGTTTATTTTATTAGCAACATAGATTATTAATTTTAATTAGCTTTTATAACAATTATTTTACATTGTAACCTTACTAAATAAGTTTTCTTTACTTTTAGAATGTTTCTATTAAAAGTTATGAAATGGTGATGGCCATAAGTTGTAGATAAATTAATTATTTCTTATTTGAGAAATTGTCTAGTAATTTACGAATAACTTTAAACATCAAAAAATTTAACTTTTTTACATAACGTATTGAGAGAGGGTGGCGTTATTAACAAAAATAGTTTTTCCTGAAATAGCGATGTCAGACGGCATTTCAGCTATAATTTGAGTGTAAGATGATGTAATTATTGTAACACGACAAAATATCTTATAAAAAAAATTCTAAACCGGCTGTGCTTGAGAATCTTAGGGATAATTCTGGGTGTCACTTCCTTTCTCCAACTTCTGCTTCTTCAGATCAGCACACTTCTTCTTTATCGGGTTCCTTAACTGTCTTGATTTCACAGTTTTGGACCCACACCAAACCTCAACCATCTCTCTTCGCTGTTCGAAATTCTGGAGACATCTTTGGTGCGAGCGTTGTTTGCAATGTTATCAACATATCACGTACATTATCTTCAGAGGTTCACTAAAGAATAAAGACATCGAAAATCCCATTGGACTATATTTTCGGTAATTTTTCAGAGGTAACTGAAAATTTGTAGAATCGCAACGTACATTACGTGACGAATTGCCTGATTATGCAACAAAATCATAAAAAAAGTTCTTTAGTTTTCAAATTATTGTGGAAAATCGTTTTTTTTTTAATCAAAAATTGATTTTAAGGAAATTATGGAAGGAATTACGTATTATTTGTAGTCTCTGGCTAGTGCGGGGCACAGGGCAAAACATAAGTTTGGGGCCCCTTAAACATTTTTTTTATAATTTAAAATCGCAACTCTAGTGAAACCTTTGTTTCGCGGGGCTCAGCGTTTTGATATTCAATTCTTTGAATTTGCTGGAAAAACGGGTATTAAATTGTTTCATAATGCAAATTGGAATATTCCAAGTGACATATTAAATATATATTCCATTTACATGATTATATGAATATTTTTTCCTTTGACTCTCGTCGTTTGAGCAAGCATTATTTCTTTGAAAACTGCGAATGCAATTCAATTAGCACGAACTGGTAATTAGCCGTGAACGTGAACTTGAAATAAACATAAGAATTCCATTGCAAAGCCCAATAATAATAATAATAATACTATGTTTTCCAATTTAATTAAGTTGAAATGGAATATTGAAAGCGCGTGCCGAGGATTTGCATGCACGCCAGAGAAGGTTGCTATTAATTTGATGAAACGCGTTGGCGACTATTGAGCAAGCAAATCATCCAATTCGAGCGGAAAATTTCACGAACCCGTTTTCCAAATCCCCAGTTTCCCGGTGGAAACACATATATTGTTCTATTTGGACACGAATATATTATAATAATAATATACTGCTACGTGGGACACTGTTTGCGCAGTTAAGTTATTTGCATTAGCGAATATATTTAATCAACGTGATAGAAAAAAAAAGTGCTGCTTTTCAAGGATAATACTTCTGTTTCAAGTAAAAAATTATGAATCGCTTTCCTTACACGATGCAAACCAAAACAAAACATTGTTACAATGTAACAATTAATTTTTAAAATTCAAAATTAATTTTTAATTTCAATAAAAAAAAAATAGGCTTTTGCACAGATCGATTTTTAATTAATAAATTTATATGTATGAATAGGATCGAAACACTTTTTTCCTAATTTTCCTAGTTTATAAAATTTTCCGGAAAAAATAATTAGAAATAAATGATTTATTTAGATTAGAAGAAAATTATATTTTTTAAATGTAGTAAACATTTTATTATGTATAAGATATGTAGTAATAATGAAAACATAGTAAATATTTTATGAAAATGTAGATATAATCTAGAAATAAGGAAATGCCAAGTTTCCAAATGAAATTACGTCCAACCAAGTTCATCTCTGATAAAAGGAAATGTGTATTCTTCATTTCGCTGAGATGCTGCGTATCTGTTGCATATCGGAATGTAAAAAAAAAACGCAGCGAAACGTATTCATCCAAATCGGAATCAAAGGTCACGATATTTAGGAATCCAGATATTCCAAATGTATAGATTAAAACATGAATATATACACAAACCAGTAGAAAATAAACAAAAAAATAGATATAATGAAAGGGAGAATTGAAAATAAATTAAATGGCATTCATTTGAATAAATGAAACTAATAAAATTCATGAAATTATAATATTAAATTGTACTTTGAAATGTTTGTAGTATTTAAATAATTAGTGATGCGATACTCAACATAGGTTCATTTCATTTGCAATTGGAATAATTCCGGGAAAATATAATAGCTTAAATGTTTTGCAACCTCTCCAATTATTATTTTATATATATAATGAATTAAATATATAACGGGTAGCGCTCCACAAAGAGAGAGTGGACATACGTGTGGGTGAACTGTCCCACGTGTGGGAGGATGGACAGTTTTGCCACAAACAGACAGGCTTAATCGATTATTTATTGATAATGCAACCTGATTCACCCCAATCGCAAATTTAATAATACAATATTTTCATCCCTTCATAATTTCATTCTTAAAATTATCATTACATTTGTGAAATGTACCTTCTTCATACTGACTGACGCCATTTTAGAGTAATGGATTAACAGCAAAATATAAGTCTATCAGACGCAAGGCGAGTAACGGAATCGATATGAAAATAAATATAAAAGTTACAATTAAAGTGAGTCTGTTTTAATTTAATACTCAATCAGTATAAAAAAAAAATAGGGTGGAGAGACTGACGTCAATAGCTTTTTATCTGTGTATGTATATGCAACTCTCGGACTTACGAACAAAATCCTAAAAGCTTTTGTTTATTTTAATCTATTTTATCAAATTTATGCAGTCGGAATTAAACCACGATAAAAAGTGGTAAGATAAGTATATTTTGAAATTCTTAAAATTCCCTCAACTTACAAACAAATTTGACTTACGAACAACTCTTCAAAATCGATAAATGCAAGAGCGTAAATATTATCCATACAGTGTAAAATTTGCCGGATGATTATTTTTTTTTTGTTAATGGAAAATTGAAATTGAGTTTTCCCCTGAAATAAATGAAGTAAAAATTAATTTGTTGATAGCATAAATAAATTATTATTGAAAAATCAAAATCTGCAAAAGCGTAAACAATTAGTTTTTTGTTTCGAGGAAATTCGAGGTGGAAGAATTATTTCGATACGTTTGATAATAAGCAAAAAGCTTAAATATTTTCCTGGTAACATTTCCCGGACTGGTTTTTGTTTTCCATGAAATATGAAATTAATTTTACTGGGAAATTCGTTATTAAATTAAGTGGAAACATTTTGTTTTGATGACAGTAAAGACCAATTATTTAATAATGAAAAATTAACATTGCATTTTGTTTCCAGGAAATTTTAAATAAGAATTGTATTGTATTGATTATTTTCAATATTGTAACAAACTGTGAATGTATTACCGGGAAATTTTAAACAAAATCTCTTTACTACCAAATTTATAATAAATAATCGTATATATTCCGTAAGAACGTTAGAGAGAGAGACAAATTCAAACTTAATTTTCATACTGTAATAATTTCCTTTAATATTTTCATTATATTTTTAAATAAATATGTAAATTCGTATTAAAATATAAAAAAAAAACTTATGTAAACGCAAATATATTTGAAACCGCAATTTTCATTATGAATTTGCTAGATATAAATTGAATGCAGCGATTAAAAACATTGTTTGGTATTGATTTGATTGCAGGTGTAAACTCCGATTTTCGATGACCACCGATGAGTAATTACGCCGCAAATATATGAATTCAGCATGAAATTATTATCATCATCGAAAATGTTTGCTAGAAATGAATGAAACGTTATCAATATAAATGAATGGACTATGTTTTTAGTATGATTTAATGAACGGAAAATTTTACAAATTGCCTATTAAAAAAGCCGATCCCACGCATGTTGGTTATAAAATGCATTTGAAAGTGACGAAAATAATGATTTCCGATGAAATGAAATAAATATATATTTTCATACGTTTCTATTTGCGCTTTTGTTGAGAATGCGCGCCTGTTCGATCTCTGATCTTTTAATAATAGACGTCTTTTGGCAGGGCAGATTTCCTTACGTTCTGTGGAATTAATGAAAGCCAACGTGAATCGAACGAAGATGTTTCTATTCAGACTTGTTATGCCGAAACATGGAGGTTTTTCTATTCTGCAAGGACATTCTGACAAGTGTACAATTGAGAAGCAGTTTGCTTTGATATCCCGAACACAAGTGAAACACGCAAATGATGTACGTTTTAGTATTCTTGGAAGCCGTATTTCTACTTGTTGCTAACGACGTGGGAAGATTTTGGAAGCGACGTTGAGAAAATGATACTTACCTTGATTATCGCAGTCGAAGGAATTTCATTTTTTTTTTCAAATACTAAATAAAATAATTAAATTCTTAAAGATAAATTTTATATTATTTACTTAAATTACAATACTAAGCGAGATATATTATTATGTTATTAATTTATATTTATATTTAGCTTCTAATTGACAAAAAAAATATGTTATTAAAATACTATTATTTTTTGAATGCATGCATGATCTTTAAATGTCTTCGGGTTCCGATCGGGTGCATCTGGACCATAGGTTGTTCCATAATTGCTTGACTGCTTGACACATGTAGTTCCACCGTGGTATGTCCCTATAAAACAGTTACAGTTAACAGGTTAGGATTAGAGGTTGGTTTTGGTTGTATTACATCAGTTTCAAGTAACAAGCAATTATCAACATAGAGATAAGAGTTGCACAGATGAAGTAGACGACGAAGGCCAGGATTGTGCGGAAGAAACGGTACAACATTTTACGGATGCTGAATTCTTCTTGTTTCTCGACAGCAGCTGCAATGAAAAACATGAAACAAACGCGGAAGGTACAAACAAACTTGTAAAATTAATTATTATTAACCTTGTGTTGTTGTAGCAGCAGTTATGGTATCAATTTCAGTAGATCCAATCATATCAGGTGGAATTGCAGTAGACATAGCATTTGGCACGGCATTTAGCATTGGAGTCGATATAACGTTTGGTATCATAGTTGTAGGGAACTCGAGGCAACGTCTTGTTTTTCTATCCCATATCCTGCATTGACATTTTTTTTTAAATATTACTTAACCTTTCTAGATCGAAGATATTATTTTTATTATTCACAGTGATGTTTTTTTAAATTTTTAATACAAACATACAGATTTATCCCCCGACTTACAAACTCACGGACTTACGAACAAAATTCTAAAAGTTCTAAGTTGTTACAAGGAGACATATAGTGATAACTTGTCATGTCTACATTGAAAAGTATTTGTAAGTAAGTATTTTGTTTATTTTAATCTATGTTTTCAAATTTATGCAGTCAGTAATACGAACAAATTCGACTTACTAACCTTTTGGAACGCAACTAATTCGTAAGTCGGGGGATTTTTACTAAAGTATTGGTATAAAACAATTGATATAGATTCCTTGAACTAATAGATAGTTAACGTAATCGGATATGAACTTGTAAATGATTTATTTTTTGTTGAAGATTAAAAAAGTAATTTCGATAGGCCAACGGTTTTCCAACTTAAATTATTATTTTGTCTATATGGAATCGAATATGTTGCGTAACTAGCCAAAGCCCGTCGGCCGGATTATCTGTAGTCAACGCTCGGGTATTACCTGTGTATTAATGAAGCGCAGATCTGAACTGACCATAATACAATCAATCCGCACAGGTTTGCGGTGCATAATGCAATTAGTTTTTTTTGTCATTAAATCATGAAAAATATTACATATGTAAAAATCAATAAGCCAATCATTTTTTTACCGACAATTTTTTTTTCAATATTTATTTAACAATTGTTATTTTTGAGACAAATTACTTAAAAACGTTAATTAATAGCAGAGAAATATAATTATAATAGAATTATTTTTATATTATAATTTATTTTAATAATTGCTATTTTTTTTGTTATCTTTATATTATGGATGTATGGATTTTATTTGATTTTTTTTAGTCCAATAAAAATGGATAAAATAAATCATTTATATAAGTGTGTGGGGTTAATAAAGACACAGCAAATTTTATTGAAACAACATAATTAATTGCAAATCTTAATTAGTGCAATTACGAACAATCAACAATATTATATTTAATAAATTATATAATAATTTAAATTGTTCTTGAATTCAAGCTGAAAAGACTATTTTTTTTAAGTACATGAAATATTTATGATGCAATATGAGAATTTCATTTACATGTAATAAAAAAAGAATGAAACACATAATTAATGGATTAATCTATTTCATATTGAAATAGAAAAAAAAATAATTTTATAAAATTATTAATATTGAATTGGTAAATTGTTAATGTATAAAATAAATTATTTTCATCATTAAATTTTGTATTAATAAATTAATTGATTTAGTGAACTAATTAAATAAATTCAAAGTAAAATCGATATGAAAATTTTGAAAATTTATATATATATTAATATTGCACTTACTTTCTACATATGCAGCGATAGCCCATACAGTCGAAACCAGCAGGACATTCAGATTGGCGGTCGCAGATATGTTTGAACTTCGGAGAATACAATGGGCCTGTAGAATTGAATAGAATATGTGTTTGAAATTGTTTAAGAATTTTTAGAATTTTTAAGGATTTACCAGTGGCATAGTCGTCATCGGTGAGCAAGGAAATAGCAGCGGCGGAGGCTACGAAGAAAACGGCGAAGAGCATCATCATCATCATCGAGGATCGCATCATGATGAGTTCGGAGTAGAGTTCGTCAGGTGTGTACTATAATACGAACAGACGAAAACTGATGCAAATCAGAGCGCTTCTTAGCGGAGGCTGAGGATGCGCAATGGTACGTCCATACACATCCAGCGTTTTGTTAGGGGTAGCATGTACATTAATGCATATGCAGCCCCTCCACTTCTTCCATAGCCTTGTACATGTGTTGGCGTCATCCGTATCCAAGCGTCCCTCAGACCCCAAAGAAACGGTGGATGCGCCGGGTTTACAGAAACCACCCATATCACCCACACAAAGTACGGATCATTTTGAATGAAACTATCCAATCGTCGTTACAAAGCTAACGTTTCAATAGTTATTCACAAATATTTAATTAAAATATTTTCAAAATAAAAAAATATTAATTTGACAATCATTTGACAATATAATAATTATCGAAAAAAAATTCAAAAACCGCATAAAAAAAATATTCGAAATTTTCATAAATTCCTACATATGACAAATAACTGTGTATAATACATTACAGAAACTTTTTTTATGCGGCAGATGGAGTCCGCAAGTCAAGTATATTTTTTTTAAATCTTTAATTATTATTTTTTTAATTGCTAATCAATTTTCATAACTAAATTGTAATTATTTTTTTCTTTTTAAATGTAAAAATTTACATTTTATAATTTTTTTAACATATTACCAATTATTTTGATAATAACCAAACAGTATTTAATATATGTTTTGAATCTGTAATCAATGAGATTTAGATTAACGCTCCAATTATGAAATTACTATAATCTCATTGTCCAATTTAATATCAGTATGAATATTTCCAAATGTTTCCAAATCTAGTTATCATTCTAACATTAACATGACTCTATATAAATGCACTCCAACTTTTCCTATTTTCAGCTTGCAGAATCGAAGAATTTCCTCATTAAAAAGTGCAATTTGTTATTTTCGAAATTATAGTATATACATATTTTTCGGAATTCCCTTGACAAAACTCGTTTATTAGTTTTTCGCAATGTATCACATAGAGATGAAAACTAAATTATTTCATAAAATTAAAATAAATTTATTCTGTCATTATTACATATCCAAAAAACCTTATTTTCTAAAATATTTATTAATCGCATGGATAATAATAAAAAAATAATAATTCAGTAATAAATAAATTAATTCCTGATAAATTTATTAATCAAGGTGTGAAATAAAACAAACACATTTTTTCTTGCGATACAATTTTATTAGAGGAGAAATCCTGGACAAGCTTTCTATGTTTTCTGATTCGTAAAAACGAATTGAATATTTAGCACTTCTAATTGCAATAGTTAAAGAAACAAAATATATATGTGTAAATAATAACAATAAACTTTGAATGTTTCAACAGTATTTAGATTTTCATAAATAAAGTTTAATATATTTTGTACTATTATTTTAGAATTTGAACTAATTTCAGTAAATAATAAGTATAATATTTTATTTAATAAATATTTCACAAAATTTTGAAAAAATGATAATTAACAAAAAAAAAAATATGTTTTGTTGAATTGGGACTAATTCTAAATATTGATAAGCTAAGGCTATAAATCAAGCATTTGCTTTTTTTTACCATAGAATGTACCTTGAGAATGTAAGCAGAGTTGTCAAGAGGTGTCATAGAAGCGAATGTTGGTATTCTAAATTCGTTGTAAATCCAATTACAGCATATAGATTGGATGCGCCGACATAGTCCTTGGAATGTGTGGGCGGATCTGCGAAAACTGTGCCACGAATGGTTGGGAAATGCTATGACAAACCAGAACCATTCGTGCTACATTTAACCCGTACGCCGCCCACAAAACCAGGATAAAATGAATGAAACAACGACCAACATTCGCTCTATAAGCGCAGTACCAAAATTTAGACGTTGTAATTTATATCCGCATGATATCGGATAATCCAGACATCGGTGTTGGGACGTGGCTGATCCCTGTAAATTAAAAGAGAAAAAAACAGTCTATTTTTTTTTCATTTATTATTTTATCAACTTACGCTCTGGTTATTATATAAATAATTATGAAACCAACGACGATTAATAAGCTGATGATGTACATCAGTAACAGCATTAAAACGTATGACAGTTTGCAACTGTCCTGCTCATCAGCTAAATAAATTTGAAAAAAAAATGTAAATACATATAAGAAAACAATAATATATAGTTATGTAATAACTTCCTTTGTAGACTAGTAAATTGGGATTATTATATAAGGACTTTTAGAATAACAAGTCTTAAAAACTCGTTTGAAGTCCTTGAGTTTCAAAGAAAATAAACTAAAAAATACTACCTATTATCAATAAATGTGTGAATGACAAATTTTCTTGTATTTGTGAAATTTTATCTATCAACAATTCAATATTAACCCTTTGTAGAGGGAACAATTTAACTGGAGCAGAATCCACTTTTTTTTTTTAATACAAAGTTGGACGGATATATCCGCCACTTGCCAGGAAAAACTATTTAAATTATAAAAATATAATGCTAGTATAAAAACGCAAATTGTAAAGCTCTGGTAAACATAAAAATGTATTTATAGAAAAAATTAAATTACATAAGATTATTTTGGTTTGATTAAGGTTTGTAGAGTGATGATTGTTTCTCAATATATTTTCAGAAAATGTATTTATATTTACAGAAAATTTTTGGAGTTAAATAAAAATTTATTTTTATTATTATTTAAATATTATTTCCCGGAAACGGAAAGGTCACGATCAATAAACCATTGTGCATATGTAATTTGAGAAAAGCTATTCTGCAAAAATTAGAAATTTCCTTTACGTCGATGCAATGTGAATAGAAATATAAAGAAAATATTACATTACCTGCTGCTTCTTTCTCTTCTTCAGCTTCGTTGTTGTGTCCGGTGATTTTCGAAGGTGTTGCGAGACATAAAGTTTTATTTATGGTCACGCGAAATGTTACGTAAATACATTTAAACTGATTTTTTTTTTCTTATATTGATACTTTATTACAAACATGCATAATTTAAGATTGAAATTAAATGAATTTTTGTTTTTTTTATTGATGTATTGGATCTATCTAAATGAGAAAATAATAGTAACTGTAATCAAATTTGTCGTCGATGTTTCAATGTTAAATACCGGAAAAAGTGCGATTACGCAATAATTTGAAATTGTGGTATTTCTTATATAAATACAAGTTTAATGAACTAATCCTACCTTCAACAATGTCCTCTTCTAAGATAGTCTCCCATCCAGTGACTTTCTTGTTAATTTTGCTGAAAAAATATTGTAATTTGCGTAGCAATTAGAGTTAAATTTTAACTTACTAATAAGAGATACATTTATTTTCGATACACAGATGCATCTTCGGACAATCGCGAGACACAGTACATTCTATAATAGGTGTCTGTTCCTCTTCACAAGACACTTAAAAAAACAAATAATAAAATTTCGTATATATTTCTTATAGAATTGAGAATACTTACCCATAGTCAACTGGACCACAAGTATAATGAGAAGTACTGGGATTGCCATTTTGTTCAATTTAGAGAGTTTAGATAGGTCTGACTCTGACTATTATACTTCTTCAAATGAGGTACCAGACTAAACTGCAATATGAAATAACTTTTGATTTCGTTTTGCGCAATTGCATTACTCTTGAACGTGGGTGGCGTTGAGACGAATCCCCGTTGCCAGGAACAACATCCTGCTTCAATATGATGCACCGTGGAAGAGGAACAAATTCACACAAAAAAATCTTCAAAGTAAATTTATATAAGTAATTTCAGATAATTAAAAAAAAATGTAGAAAAAAAAAATATGATTTAATTGTATATATATATGTATATGTATAATTATATGTTTACTTATGTAAATATATATCTGCACGTCTATGTAGCGCTGCATAAAATCAATATATCACTAAACTGAAATACGTGCTGAAAATATAGCTGAAGTTCTATACATAGTCAATACAGTTTATATATTGAATTTGTTTGAAATAACTAACAAATATAAATGAAACGAAAATAAATATTTCATTTCATAATAAAGACATTTGGAAGCTTAAGAAAGACATCTGATACATTAATAAAGACATTTGATAAAGATGTTTGACAGTTTAAGAAAGATGTTGGATAATTTAAGAAAGATGCTGATAGATTAAAAAAATACGTTTGAAATATTAATAAAGATGTTTGATAGATAGAGAAAGATGTTTGACTGTTTAATTAAGATGTCTGATAGATTAAGAAAAGACATTTGGAAGCTAAAGAATGCTGTTTGATAGATTGAGAAAGACGTTTGACAGTTTAAGAAAGATGTTTGACAGTTTAAGAAAGATGTTGGACAGTTTAAGAAAGATGCTGATAGATTAAGAAAAGACGTTTGAAATATTAATAAAGATGTTTGATAGATAGAGAAAGATGTTTGATGATTTAAGATTAAGATGTCTGATAGATTAAGAAAAGACATTTGGAAGCTAAAGAATGCTGTTTGATAGATTGAGAAAGACGTTTGACAGTTTAAGAAAGATGTTTGACAATTTAAGAAAGATGTTTGATAGTTTAAGAAAGATGTTTGACAGTTTAAGAAAGATGTTTGATAGTTTAAGAAAGATGTTTGACAGTTTAAGAAAAATGTTTGACAGTTTAAGAAAGATGTTTGGCAGTTTAAGAAAGATGTCTGATAGATTAAAAAGACATTAGGAATCTTAAGAATGCTGTTTGATAGATTGAGAAAGACGTTTGACAGTTTAAGAAAGATGTTTCAGATTTTAAGAAAGATGTTTGACAATTTAGGAAAGATGTTTGACAGTTTTACAAAGATGTCCGATAGATTCATAAAGATGTTTGACAGCTTAAGAAAGACATTTGCAAGTTAATTAGCATATAAAAACCGGGAATAGGTAGAGAAATCGAAATAATAAAATTATTTAAATTTTTAATAAATGAAAATAATAACTTATATACAATTTTCTTATAAGAAGAATTTTTGGTTGAGGGAATAAAATGAAAGTTTGAAATTACATATCTTCGCGAATAAGGTTAAAAT